AAAAAAAAAAAAAAAAAAAAAAGGCAAGAGGACCAAGAGGGAGGGAGGGGAAAGGAGAAGAAGGAAAGAGGATGAAAAAAGAATTAAGACTTGTTATGTAGCTGTGCCTACTCATCATGATGAACATAATCATTTTGTTTTGTTTTGTCTTTTTGAGACAGGGTCTCGCTATGCAGTTCAGGCTGGCCTTCAGCTCACTTTGTGGCCCAGGTTGGCTCGAACTTGCAAGGATCCTCCTGCCTCAGCCTCCCGAGTGCTGGGATTACAGGCGTTCGTCACCATGCCCGGCTCAAGTGTAATCATTATTTACCATAACCATGACCTTTTTTTTGGTACTGGAAATCTAGTCAGGGCCTTGTGCTTGCCAGGCAGGCGCTGCGCCGCTGACCTATATCCCCAGCCCCACAACCACGACTTAAAAAATAAAGAAGGAAAGGAAGAAGAAAAAGAATAAGACATAGGGGTAAATGGAAAATATAGAATAAGATGCCATTAACATGTATTAATGCCTATCTCTCATGTTGTTGGGGAGAGGTCTCAATATTTTAAATATTCCACCCCTCTACAAACTAACCTATATATTCCATGGAATCACAATTAAAAACCTAACTGGAATTTGTTATGAATCTTAAATTAACTGATTCCAAATAGAAATATTTTTTTAAAATACTAAAAAGGGTCTTGGGGAAATGGGGTACTTGGAAAACAGAAGTTTTGAGTGCTATTTTACCTTATACATAATAATAAATTTCAGACAGAATAAAAAACTAAAGATAAGAGATAAAACTATAAAAAAAAATTTTTTTTTTGTTTTTTTCCACTACCGGGAATCGAACTCACAACCTTGTGCTTGCCAGGCAGGCGCTATGCCACTGAGCTAAAACCCCAGCCCCAAAACTATAAAAATATTAAAAGGACACAAATACTTTTCTCTGAGCAAGAGTCAAACTAAAGTATTATAAGGAAAACATTTATATACTTTATTACCTAAAATTCTTACAGTGTTCTGTATAGTGAAGACACCCCTAAAATTAAAAATAACAGAGCTGGGCATGGTGGTGCACGCCTGTTATTCCAGCACTTGGGAGGCTGAGGCAGGAGAATTGTTGCAAGTTCGAGGCCATCCTGGGCTACAAAGTGTGCTCAAGGCCAGCCTGAACTGCATAGTGAGACCCTGTCTCAAAAAAAAAGACACACACAAAAAAGTAATAACAGTTAGATTTTGGTACAAACACTTGTTTTTTTCTTAAGAATAAAGCTTCTCTTTATCATTAAAAACAGCCGCAGGTTGAGGAAAAAAAGACTTGGCGTGGATAAATAGATAAAGGGCTAATCAACATAATACTGTATGTAACGAACACTCACAAATTGGTATGCTAAAATAATCCTATATAAAAGAAATAAAAACGGCCAGGTGTGGTGGCGCACCCCTATAGTCCCAGTACTCAGGAGGCTGAGGCAGGAGGATTGTTGTGAGTTCAAGACCAGCCTGGGCTACAAAATGAGTTCAAGACCAGCCTGAACTGCATAGCGAGACCCTGACTAAAAAAGACAAATAAATAAATATATATATATATATATATGTATATATATATATATAAAACGGGAAAGGATAGTAACGGACCATTCAGACAGGACGATTCAAAATGACAACCTTATGAAAAAATGTGCCACTTCGTGATGATCAGTGATTGCTATATCAAAGCATTCATTAAATACTATTTTCTCATTCATCAAAATAACTAAAACTATTTCTGACATCCAATGCTCAGCGAGTGATCCTGTACTCTGGAAGGAGGAGGATAAATAGGTGTGGGTTTTTGTCATGCAACGCAGCAACAACAAATGAACTCCGTTAAACCACGCAGGAATGTGGGGGCCTAGGGGATTGAGCGCAGGCATAAGGCGTTTCTGAGAAAGACGGGGGGCTTGGACTTCCAATGGCTGAGGTGGAACACACATGAGAGCCACACAAAGTCACGGCAAGAGGCCAACATTGTGACCTTCGCTAGAGGCATACCCCACAATGCGGCACTTCACACGGAAAGTGAGCGCCCTGTACGGGAACAGAGGTTTGCTGAAGGCAAGCTCCCTGTTCAAGTCACAGGCCGTTGTCACATTTAAGCTACCTCAGTGACACAATAGGCTCAGAGTACAGAAGGTTCTAGAAATTAATGGCGTCAGAATCCACTTCGTTGCCCTGAATGCTGAGTCCGCGTGTGCTGCGGCTTGGATTGAATCCCTCCGCTTCAAGTCCCTACCGTCATTTAGTTCCAGAACTTTCTCACTGTCGGAAAAGGAGACCCTCCACCCACGCCCAAAGGGAGCCCCTTTGGGATCGATAGTGCAAGAAAAGATATAAACAAGTGGAATGATACCGTATAATACTAAATTTTCAGGAACCAAGTGTGCAAAACCCATAGCCTTGAACTTGCGGAGGGAGCGGCTCACGAACAAGGCCGGTGCGCAGAGGCGGGGAACCGTGCGCGCGCGCGCGCGGAGGGATCTCTCCGTCCGATGGGCGGGGCGCTGACCCTCAAAAGCCCACTGCGGAGCCGCCCGGCTGCCTTTTCTCCGAGGACAGCGACGTGGTCGTAGCCATGTCGGAGGCTGAGGCAGGCGCCGCGATGCCTGAAGAGGCCAGGCCCAACGAGAGGACGCTGCAGGTGCTGCGCGACATAGCCAACCGCCTGCGCATCCACTCCATCAGGACCACATGCACCGCGAGCTCCGGGTAAGGCCCCCTCGTCGAAGGCCGCGAGGCGCGGCTGGTCGGTCCCCGGGGTTACGACCCTGCGAAGGCGGCCTGTGGTAGCTGGGTGAGTGGGTGGACGGACAGATGGGCAGGCTGGCCCAACAGATAGACGGGTGGGCTGGACAGGGAGGCAGGACAGACGGGCAGGTGGAAGGACAGGCCCGAGGCGGACCGACAGCGGGCTGTACCGGCGGACTGATGCGTCGGCTGGACAGAGAGCGGAGCGGGCGGTCGGACAGGCAGATGGGCGGGTGGAAGGACAGGC